GACTGCTTGCAGGGAAGACTACCAGCAATCCCCTTCTTCTTCATTTCAGAGGTCCGCCTCACACCCACACTTGGGAACTGCACACAGTATAGTTAAAACAGATAAAGTGGATGCCTCTTGAACACTCTTAATAAAGTGGTTCTCGGTTTCAGTTCTTTAGGATTTAATAACAAAAAGCGATAAGACTGATACACTTTACCTCCAATTTTCAGCATTTTCTCCAGGTGGTTCACTCGTTCCTCTGTAAGCCGCTTGACAGTTTCCTTTTCTAGTTCACAATAACGCTCATGTTTCTGTATTTTCTCCCACGTCTGACCTACCTGCGACACAAACTTATCCACACATTTTTTCACAATCCATTCATGAAGAAAATATTTTTGGCTAACGATTATCACTTCCAAGGCTTCGTCTACCGTCAAGTCCTCTTGGCACCAACACCTTAAATATTCCTCGCAGCGGGTTTTCAGTCGATCGATTTGGTATTCAGTCGAAAGTTTCAAAAGAGCGAGACAGTTTTCCTTTGAGATCCGAAGATCCCGGTCAGGGTAGATACCTTGAAGCATCTGCTCCAGTTCTGATGCATCTTTGCCCGGAAGAGGTATTTCTTTGGCAGATCTCTCTTTGAAATTCGAAGACAACATGGCTTCAAAGACTGGCGAAGACAGGATCAAAACAGCTCGATGAACATGAAATTCCCTGTCTGCGACTTTAAGAACTAAGTCACTTGATTTCCATGGGCGAGAAAAAGGTTTGGCTTCGGAGGTTTCTAGAGACTTCTTTGCCTTCTTTCTAGAGTTGGAATCCATGGCTTACTTCTGCAATTTGGGTCAGATGCGGGAAGGCAAGCTGTTTAATAAAAGGCAAGTGTTGGAAGGAGCGTTGCGTGAATTCATATATGATTACTATAGTGTATCGTGTACCTGTTTTTATTTTAGTGAAATACCTACCCTACGTAACATGACCTTATCCACTTTATTATAGCCTGCGTAGCAAGCGTTTCTGTACGGTTTACGAGAAAAGAACGAGGAACGAGAGTCAAAGACCGCAAGAAAAGTGGCGCAAGTAAAAGAGCGGGGAGGGGGGTGGAGAAGAAAGGAAGGTTTCCTTCCTTCCCCTTCCTCTCCCCCCTCTTTCACTTTTTGGCTCTCGTTTCATTTCTCGCGCGGTCAAAACCGAAAGTCCCCTTCCTCGGTATTTCTTTGCTCCGAAACCAAACGGAAACGCTTGCTACGCAGGCTAACTTTATTATAAAAGTTGATGCTTCTGTAATTTACTTCTGTTTGCGAGTTACTACTTTTACTTGTACCTTCTGTATAGGCCTCCTAGGTCCACCACTAAAATAATGAACAGATTTGAAGATGTATTGCAAAAATTGGACTCATATCATATGGAGGTTGACATTGGCGGTGACCTAAATTGTAATGTTAGCTAATGTTGGTGCAACATCACCAGACTGCAGCACACAAAAGCTACTAGATATCTGTGATAGTTACCAGCCGGATAGCCAATTAATTGATCGGCCAACACGTATAACACAGCTCACATCCTCTATTATTGATTTGGTTTTAACTATTTAAATCATTCGTGGAATTTTTCGGACTCCGGAGTCGCCGATATCGGAATCAGTGATCAGTGTCTGGTGTATGCAATAAGGAAGATTTATATTCCAAAATCAAATCCAAAGACTGTAGCGAGCAGATGCTTTAAAAACTTTATTCCAGATAGTTTTCGAACTGACTTATCGATGGGCCCGTGGCGTCTGATCTGATTGAACATGAGCATAATCCTGACATTGCTGGAATATATGGCAACATGTTTGTTCTTAGACATTGCTGATAACCATGCACCACTAAGGAAGAAGAGAGTGAGAGGATTTCTCTTCCCCCTGGATTATTCCGGAGCTAAAAAGGCTAGTGTTTCAAAGAGACAAACTCAAAAAAATAGCCCCAAGGTTCCCAACAGATGGCAATTGGATTTCTAACACATAGCATTGTTAAACGTATTTTAGTATTTAAACGGTAGATATAGGCATATTTTTAAACCCTAAAAGTTTTTGATCTGTTCGGATTTTCTAGCTGAAAGTCCAGTGACCCGAAAATTATAGGGATCAAAACTTAGCTTTTTGAAAATTTCAGCCAGAAAAAAGGCTCCCGAAAATTCTAGGTGACCTTTTTAGGGTAAAAATCCGTTAAAAATGGGCAATTATACCATTTTTTAGATGTTCGAAAACCCTCGAGAGACAGGCAAGCAAGAAATTTTACAACAAATGTTCCAGAAATTCTAGATCTCAAATCGTCTTCCTAGCAGATATTTTCCGAAAAATGTCGTTGAGTGCCCTTGAAGAATGCCAAAATGAACTATTACAATGCCTTCTTCAAAGATTATCGCAGAAACATAAAGAATACTTGGAAAGGAATTAATAGACTAATTGGAAATGAATCTAAATTCAATAAGATAACTCAGCTGGACACAGGATTCTGTAAGTAGTGACCCCATTGAAATCAGTAATATACTCAACACACATTTCTCCAAAATAGGACCTTCCTTAGCCTCTGAATTCAAAATACATCCAATAATTTTACTGATTATATTACCCCCACAAAACAATTTTTTCAGTTGGCGGAAGTATCATGCCAGGAGGTCTTCAATTTAATTCAGAAAATACCTAGTAATAAAGCCAGTGGTCTTGATAACATCTCAGCACGTCTCCTGAAAGAAGCATCTCCCATAGTTACTCGAAGTTTAACTTTAATAATAACTCTCAGTTACCACTGGGATATTTCCAAATGCTTGGAAACGAGCTAGAGTTTCGCCAATGTTTAAAGAGGACCTCAAGACTGATCCTTACAACTACAGACCTATCCTAGTTCTGCCTGTAGTAAGTAAATTAATTTAAAGAGTTGTTTTTAACCAACTATATGAATATCTTAATGATAAAAACTTGTTAACTGAATCACAATCTGGCTTCAGACCTATGTTTTCTACTGAAACAGCTTTACTGGAGGCAACGAATGAATGGCTATGGAATATTAACAACAATCTCTTAAATGGTGTGATATTCCTGGACTTGAAAAAAGCCTTTGACACCATGGATCATGCTATCCTACTGGGAAAGCTTAAACTCTATGGGGTCAGTTCTCAAACTCTTAACTGGTTCCGGTCCTATCTATCTGACCGAAAGCAACAAACGTTGATGGAGCTCAATCTGCTTTCTGTAATATAACATGTGGCATTCCACAGGGCTCTATTTTAGGCCCTCTCTTATTTACTATTTAGATTAAAGATCTCCCCTCATGTAATTTGTTTTCAAAACCCAGAATGTATGTAGATGATACTATTGACCTCATCTGCAGAAGAGCTATGTGTCCTTGAACATAAAATGAATTGTGATATGAATTTAATTCAGTCATGGCTGTCAGCAAACAAATCAACTTTGAATGTTGAGAAGACTAAATACATGCTTATAGGGAGTCAATTAAAGTTATCTCAAATAAATAGTGACTTCACAGTCAAAGTTAATAATACACCGTTAGAAAGAGTAATTAAACATAAATCCCTTGGAGTTCAAATTGATGAATCTTTGAACCGGCGCCCACACATTAATACCATTTCAAAGAAAATATCCGCTGGTCTTGCTATCTTAAAGCGTGTAAGTCAGTTTATACCATTTGATACTAGAGTGAACGTGTACAATGCACTGGTAATGCCATATCTTAATTACTGTAGTGCTGTATGGGGTAATATTATTAAGGGACTAGCATACAAACTTCAAAAGATGCAGAATAGGGCGACTAGAACTCTCACCTTTTCTAACTATGAGGTTCGCTAAGTGTTTTGTTGGATGAGCTTGGCTGGGAAAGGTTAGAATATGTAAGAATTAAACAGTTGGCTGTTACAATGTACAAAATCCATTGTACACTCCCACAATCTTAGAAATTCGGAGTTAGATAACTATGTCCCCAGACCCAGAACTGAGTCTGCAAAAGGGAGCCTACACTAGAGAGGATCTGTTCTGTGGAACAAGATTCCCTCAGAGGTTAGAAACCTGCCTAGTTTAAATGTTTTCAAAACTTCATTTCATGGGAAAGATTATCTTAATACACTATGACTCATCGTAACTCTTACTATAATACAAGTATTTGGATTTTTAACTTTATAGTCAAGTAGTTTCTTAGAGTATTTTAGTATAATTTTACACACGATTCCTAGGAGGACCATGTAAAAGTGATACGATTTCGTGTATAAATAAAGATTGATGATGATGATGTTAGCTCTTCATTTGTAACCTGGTTACAGCTTATGTAACCTTGTTACTTCTGTGACCGTGTTGATTCTGATACCTTATAATAAATTTCTGTTACCGCATTACCTCTATTACCTGGTTGATTTCGACGGCTGGAAACCAAGGAGGGTCTCAAGGGGGTGGAGACTTAAACATTCAATATTCTGGCTGTTTTTACACAAACAGTTAATTTCCTTTAACTGACATCTAACAAAAGGCATTTGTTTGAAAAGTTCAAAATGAATTTCCATTGTTGTACAACACATTTTTCAAGGTCAATTCAGCATAGAGAAAAGGCTGAAATAGGCTCCCTCCCTCTTTGTGTCGTAAGTGGCTTTAGGAGTGGAAAATAATAAACGCGAGGGAGACGATGAGAAGGGGAAACAGAAAAAGAGAGGCAGGCTTCCGCCTTTTCCCTCGTCCATCACGCTTGATTGATCTGACTGGCTCGTCAATCACAAAGAAACCTGGAAAAGAGTAAAACTACAGGGTAAAATGTTTCTTAACTTGCAGATAGCCACATATTTCCAGTAATTTGCAATGGACTTCACTACACTAGATGGGTTATATGGTTTAATATTTATTATTCAAATGCTTACAATTTCAAAAAGATAGCGAGTAAAATCATTTCGGTTGACTTGCGACGTGAAAACCCACCAAGAAAATTAAGAGACCGCGAGTGCAAATGACTACTTGACAGAAATTAAATTAAATAGCGGATAGAGTATTTACATTTTTCTATCGTCCCCCCATACAGGTTGCACTCTCCCCAATCTTGTCCTTTATCGCTCTGAAAAATCACTCCCATTGATTTTTCTTAATTTACAAGGAATTGCTTCGTTTAATTTGTTCAGAGTATGGATCATAGAACTATAAAATTTAAAACAATTACATCGCATAACATTTCTGGGCTGGTTAGTCATCACTCCTCTCAGGCACATCGCGCGCGAATAAAGAAGTCGCACGCGATTGTTTTCCCGCTGCTTCTCACGAACAAAAGAAATAAGGTATAGAAATTTCTCCCAATTTCTACGAACTGCCTCAAAGCATTCAAATCTTTGTTAAGAGGCAACTCCTTGCAAATCAGTGGAACTAAAATAAACCGAGAAACTACATCCTCACACATCGATGCAAATTGCACGCTTTACAACAAATACTTCATACGCATTAAGAATCATTGATACAAAAAATATATATTAATAACAAAAGTGTCATTGGTCTGTACGGTAGAGTAACTTTGTCCATAGAGAGTGTGGTCGCAGTGTTGAAGAAAAATTTCCTTGTTACAAAATTTCGTGGTCGGAGCTTGTTTTCAAGGGTGTTTTACACCCTAAAACTTTAATCGTCCAAATGGATACACCTCGTTTATTCCGCGGAAGGAGGAATCCATACAGTGCGCCTTCGTACGTACGCGTATTTCCATTTTGTCAAACGTCTAGCGACAACGCGTCGCCGTTTCATAGCGTTTTTGTCTATCGTCCGCACGTTTAAGTCGTCGGAACAGATCGGAGTAGCGTCGCACGTTCGTTAACCCGTCGGGGTTAATCGGTTAGAGACAAAGTCTCGTCTCGCAACGTTTGTTTGCACTCGGTTAGTGTACTACAGTCTTGTCAGGTAAGCCTCTAGTAAGACGAGTGTTGTCGCTAACGCTTAGTGCGTCTCACGGCTTTTTTGAACTTCCTCCCGGCTATTCCCGCATTTTCTCCGCCAGTTCCTGCTGTAAACATCGTGTTCCCCTGGGGTTGCCCGCCTCCAAAGCTGAACATTCCGGAGCTATTCAGGTTATTGTTAGTCGCCGTGGGAGCAAAGTTAAAACCGGCGGGAGCAGTTGCTATAAACCGAGAGAACGTCAAATTAGTAAATTGTTAATAAGTTTAAGGAGAAACCTTTAAGGACTCATATTTTAGAAGTGCGATTCAAGATTACGTGAACCTCAGTTCACGTTCAGCGTTTTTGTTAGAAATAGTTATGGTGAGTCCCGTAGTCCATCTTGAGAAAAATTATGAGTTCCAGTCAAGAACCATTGAGTCCCAGTTCAAAAAACGAGTCCTCAATCGAAAATGCTTGGGCCTTTATGTAACCAGACAGTTAATCTGAATACATAGTCCAAAACTCTTTAATACAGTACATACCTTCTAATTGAAGCACAGAAAAAGACTGAAATCATTACGCATCGTTAAACAACAGCCACAGAAATCACACGAAGATATACTACAAAAACATTTTCAGATTGGTCAATCGATCTTGGTGTCCTACGGGATGCATGTCATGAATTATTTTGCGTCTTTGGCGATTTTTACTTGTCAGGAACGCAGGGCGCAGGGGTAACAAAATCACTGAAGGTAATGCCGCTTTGGTATAAATGAGAAATGTAAAACGACAAAAATTGAAACTGCCCTTTCAACAAGCCGTAAAGCTCACCGTTGGCCGCTGGGGTGCTACTAGCACCAAACGAAGGCGTCCCTCCTCCAGCCGGTGCAAACGCAAACGGGGATGATCCCGTGTTAGTCGCCTGTGAAGAAAAGTTAAAGCCTCCTGAGGCGGGAGGGGTTGGGGCTGCAAAATTAAATCCTGTGCTGGACCCAGGGGAACCAAATGGAGTGGTCATTGCGTTGGCTAAAAGAGAAAAGGAGAAATGGTTAATTCATGGAGGTAAGTTTACAGAAGTCATTAGGGACTTAAACATCCAACGACGCGGACGGCAACGAGAACGTCAAAAAAACAAAAGGTTTAAAAAGCAAAACAACAACTTTGCACGTGCACCACGCTTTTTCGTACATTTCTTTCCTCTTTTTGCACGGCTTCGACGCGAAAATGCCTAATTTCGCGTTTTAAGGAGGACGTAAACAAACACGACGAATTTTAATTTCTCTTTCTGAGCTTGAATATGGTCACCTGAATTTCAGCTTCAGGAGGGTTCGCCTACATTTGACAAAGTAAGTGGGCAGGAATAATCGCTGTAAAGACTAAAAAAGAACGTGAATTCAATTTTTAAGCGACGTTCTCGTTGCCGTCGCGTCGTTAAAGTCCCTGTTAACTTCGAGCGCAGGGGTGAAAGAGCTCATGGCACAATCAAAAAATGGATTCCCACAGAAACAGGAAACTACTTAAAGTAACACCCGCAACGGTTAAGTAACCACCGTAAAAACACAATTTGTTCACTTCGGCCATGTTAACGTTACACCGGATCTTACGCCGACACGAAAACCATACCAGATAGGGGTTCTGTTCACACATAACGATGACTTCGGCGAGTTTTCTGTAACGCGCCGATCTTGAAAGTGGATTGTGACATATTGGATAGGGTTTTCCCACTCTTCGTCGCAGTATGAAAAAAAAAGCACTTTATTTGAGCGTCATTGTATTTAGCACGACAGTACTGATTGGGGACACTATTTTTACGTCTCCAACTGGAGACGGGACCGCCATTTTACGAGGTCATCCGAGCCACGCGAAGGTCTAGCGCTTGCAGTATAAAGGGAGTACCCTTCATTTCTCAGTTATTTCAAGACCCTGAGTAATGGTCCGATCCCGGGAATCGAACCCGCGACCTACCGCTCTTCAGTCAAGCGCTCTACCGACTGAGCTAGTCCTATCGCGGTGTCAACATATGTTAGGGTATTGCTAAGTGTCCTAACTCTCGTAGAGACGATTTGGCCGCAAAAAAAATTGTCAAAATCATGACGCGAGAATGCAAAAAATGAACTGCCGGTTTTACGTGCGTCGTTAAACACGTCGTTGCTTAAGCTCCCTATCATCAATATTACAAATCATCTGCACACTTTTTAAGTTTAATCACCTGATGGGGCAAAGAGGTTGGTTCCACTGTTGCTGCCATCAGCCTCCATGGTTTCTTCAGAAGGCGCTGATGTCGAGTTTGATAGCGGAGCAAACGTAAATGTCTGTGAGCAAAAGAATATTGCGTTAAATCATTGACCTGTGTAACAAATCTACCTGTATCCATTAAAAAAAGGCAAGAGTTCCTTTTGTTTTCAGGTGTGATAAATAAATAAAAATAAATAAAACTTTAATAAATACTCCCAAAAAAAGGTTTTTCAGTACCTATTTACAAATATAAATGCAAACTATATCTAACAAACTAATATTGTTAAATGCTAACTGTCATACAATCATTCATTCATTACAAGTTTCAGGGCTTTCTTAAAGGCCTTTACAGTTGTAGCGTTTCTAAGGTCTTCGTCTAACGTGTTCCACAGGG